GAAAACTGAAGATGTTTTTCTCGTTAATTTCTCCTGAATGCAGATCAAGTGACCGTTATAAAACGCAGAGATGAGCATCCAGGAAATCTCCCCCAGGAAAACAGGCAGTCAGACAACTGGGCCCAACAAGGTAACGACGACGGGAGAGGGAACAAAGGAGTTCATGGCTGTCGTTGGGTTTTCTTTCGTTTTTGTCGTCGTTTCATCCCTTCTTTTGTCTGGGGGCAAACTGCAGGAGCCAGGAGGCCCCGGAGCAACAGCTGGCAGGTAGGAAGAGAGGGAGGGAGAGAAGGAAGGAGAGAGGAAAAGAGGGGCGGCGTACAGACGACAGGCTGAAGAAAGGTAAGAGGGAAGGACACGAACTGCAGCACGGAAACTTTTTAACATGTTGACTGCAGGTTCAGCTTCTAATATTTCAGATCTAAGAGAAAGACTGAGGATGATAAAAGACTGATAACATGTGATGCTAATGTTGAGTCCATGAAAAGACAGATAAGAGATTATCAAAGGTACATTTATGCATAAAATGATAATTTGGCACACATGAAACTCTCGGTCCATTTTTCCCTGCTGAGTCTCTCTTTCTCTCTCTCTCAGACACACACACACACACACACACACACACACACACACACACAGTAGGTCTCGGTTAACCAAAGTCAATAGCCTGCAGACAGACAAGTGTGATTACAGGAGATACTATTGCTCTCACTATTTAGCAGCTTCACTTTCTGTGTGTGAGGGGAAAATGAAGGGTGTTAAAAAGAGACGACAGAAAAGGCCAGAGGTTTCATCTCGAATCGTCTCTTCGCATAACTGACATGCGGCGCTCTTTGAATCACTTTTTTATCAGTTTTTGGTTTTTAAATGTCTCCCTCTATTAATCTGCATTTTGATTCATGATATCGATTCATTTTTATATTCAGCTACAAAAAAGAAAAAGCAGATTAAACTTGCATCTTATTTTGGCTTCAGTAGTAAGTTGAGGTTTTACTTTCCATTCCGCACAACTTCATTCCCTTAATATTATGACTTTCTGTAGTTTTGACTTTTTCTCTCATAATTTTTACTTTTTTATTTTCTTATAATCCATTGTAGAAAACCAACCTTTACTGCTCTGATATTTAGGAAGATGAAGCGACTTAAGCAGAGTTGTGGTAACTGGTTATATTTACTCAGTTACATTTGCTTCAGTAACTTTTTGAAATACATTTACTTTTTGGAGTATCTCTGCTCTTTCTTGAATAAAATTTCTGTATTTTCTACCAACTGAATAAAAAACATGTTTTAACCAAAGATTCACCAGACTCAGACACACACCTGCAGTTTCTGTTAAAGTTTCATAAGTTTTTTATTTAAAGAAACTGATTTAGAAAAACTTTCCTTGTATTTTTTTGTTACTAATTGAATTATTGTCATTTTAGTTCTTAAAATACCAAAGTTTCCACTTAACTTTATATTTTGTTCCATCTGATGATGTAATTTTTAAATATTAAATGATTGATCATTTGATCGGTTGCTCAGTACTTTTGACCAAATACTGTTTTACTCTTACTTACTTTATTGTTATCTTTTGTTGTTGTTTTCTGTGTTTAATGTGGACAATTTACCAAAATAAAGCGATTGATTGATTGAGTCATTTCATGAACAGCTACTTTTTACTTTTACTCAAGTAGAAATATGTTGAACTAGTGTTTCTCCTGCTAGAGTATAAATTGTGGAAACTTTACCAACATCTGCACTAGGAAGAATGAAACTTCATATTTGTTTTTAAGTGATCAGTGAAATTCATTCGTTCATCCTCTTACTTAGAAAAACAGTTTTGGTCATACCGAGGAAGGAAGAAAACTCTCCAACTTGTATCAGTTTTATGTTAGTACAAATATGAAAAATAAACAAAGAAGAAATGAGACAATCATTTTTTTTCAAGTAGGTCAACTGCACCCTAATGTCCGACTGTTGCTTTGTGTTATTTATTTACATCAGGCAGCTTCAAACACTCAATCACCCGTTTATCTCTGCCTGTCTATCCACACACACACACACACACACACACACACACACACACACACACACACACACACACACACACCGCTCTGACCAGGCAGATGGTTGTGCCACCCCTGCCAAAGCAGCATAACAAGCTACACACACACACACACACACGTATAAAGGGGAGTGGGACGTCTGTTTCAGCTGCCTCTCTGTGTCGAAGCGAAGCTGGCATCAGCCATGAATCCTCCAATCCTCCACGCTGCCCCCCTTTCCCCCCCCCCTGTTACAGTACAGGCTGTTTAACTGGAAACGCTGGCAAAACAAAATTAAACTGGTGATGAGAACAAGCTGTTTTTCATTACAAATGTTCACCAATATTCCACTAATGTCTAAAAACAAACATACACTGGCAATTTCTGTTTCAATTAAATAAGGAATTAAAATCACATGTGAATAAGTTTGTTCAAGTGATAAGTCATTAAAAACCATCCGACTCCATCATCCTCCCTCCACTTCCTGTCGTCTTCTTTGTGGTTTCTTCCAGTAGTAACATTCTGTTGTTGATCATGTGACTTGTGTGATGTGAAACAAGTGTTTCCATTGCAGTTTTGTGAAATAAAAAAAAATTCAAGACAACCAAAAAACACACTTTATCCTACTGCCATTTTATTTGATCAAAAAACAAGTTTTTTTTTTAAATCGACATATTTCCATTAAGCAAATTTATTTTTTAAATGTAAAAAGCTACATTCACACTGGATCCTGAAGACACCCATTTCCGATTTTTTTATGTCATGAAAAGATCAGATGCGTAACGGATTTAGAACCACGTCCAGGTCGCCTGGGTCGCATTAAGGCAGAAACATCAGAATTGGGTCACTTCAGGCTGCAGTGTGAACGCAGCCTCTGATAAGCTCCGCCGTTAGCATCCATGTTTACTTCAACAAACTCTGAGCACTTCTTCTTCTTTCTTTTTTGTGACATTTGGTAAAACACTGAGCACGCTCTCTGTGTGACGCTATTGCGCCCTCTACTGCGCATGTGGGACACGTTCAGGTCATTTACAGTTCACTCTAGATATCACATACAAGTCGCATATATTTGGAAGTGTGAACGACCACGCAAGAAAAATCAGATTTGACAAAAAAATCGGTTTGGGGTAAAATCAGGAAGCAGAGTGAACCTAGCCTATTGCGTAATTTTCTGGTCAATAGAAACACATCTACAGACTAAAAGACCTTCAGACTGGATGATTTTGTGATTTTGGGGCCTCTTGCAGCTGTCGAACACCCTGAGACTGCACCCAAACACACACACACACACACGCACACACACACACACGCACACTCTATCACATCTACCAAACAGGCTTTACAACTAACAGCATTAATCACCTTTTCAACAAAGAGAGTGTCAGCCAATTTTAACGGCAAAGACGGATGGCGGTAAGAATAAATGGCCGACTATCACAGAGCATCTGGGTATGTCTTAATATGCATGTGACTGTACGTCACTGTCAACGTGTGTGTGTGCGTGTGTGTGGGTGTGTCTGTAAACAACTCAACTTACATAGATTACTTCTGAAACTCTGTAACTGGAATACACACACAGAGAGACACACAGAGTCATCCTTATCCATGTTTCCACCTTCCAAATCAAAACATCCTCACAGATTACTCTACACACCTTAATCTCCCGCTTAATTCCTAAATGTCTTCGTCAAACGCACAAGCCAGCAGAACCCAGATTAGATTAGGCTGCTCTCGGAACAAGGTGGCGCTGCAGAAAAAAAGATTTTCCAGCATACAGCAAAAATAAAATTTAGTCAAAATACTGAGTCAACCGTTTGCTTCAGATTTGTAAGGTAAATCCAGAGTGATTACACAGTGTCTGAGATGTTCTGTGTTATTTTATGCATGCAACACAAAACGCTGGAGCGGAAAATATGCTGTAAATGCTTGGATTTAGCCATAAACGGGTGGTAGTGGTGTTTACTGTCGTTTACCAATATCTTATATGTTTGCATCATTAAAATAGTTACTGTGAAGCAGGTGACTGCATTAATAATCTAATAAACTGCAAAAAGACAAAATCTTACCAAGTATTTTTGGTTTAGTTTCTAGTCTAAATATCTCAGTACACTTTAAATAAGACAAAACTAGCTTACAAGTAACTTTTCAGCAAGATATAGAAGCTTTTCTAATGCCAATAAATCCTTAAACTTGATGAAAAAGTTCTAGTTTCACTGGCAAATTATTTCACTTTTAATAAGACAATTTCCCCTTGTTGTAATTGAAATTTTCTGTCAATAAAACTAATACTTTTTCATCAATATTAAAGAATTATTCACTTAAAACAATCTCCTGTCTTTTTATGAAAAGTTTATTTGAATTGTAAGATATTTTCATTAGATATTGAACCAAAAGTAACATTTTGTTTGACTTAAACTATACATACCTTTTCATATCTTTGTTTAAATGTAGCCACTGACTGTTTCAGATAATTTATCCAGAGAAACAATCAAAGATCCAGCAGAACAACTTCACCTCCAACAACTGATGAAGATTTTTCACATTTTTTCCTCTGACCTCAATCTCAGATTTCTTATTTTTCAAGTTTCTGACTTTAATCTTCTGAGGTTAAGTCTGAATTCTAAGAAAAATGTAAAAATGATAAGAAGTCAGATTCACTCCGAGTTTCAAAACAGAATTATTAGTTTAAAGTCAGTAACACTTTTCAGATTGTTTGTAAAAATGTTACAATCTTAATTTTTATTATAATATAGAAAAAAGGACAAAATATAATAATGAAACTGGACAGATATGCAGGATTCTTCCCAACCTGACTTCATTACAAAGAGACTTTAATTTATAATTAGTTTGATACTTTCTACTCTTTCCAAAACATTTATTTTTGCTAGGATGCTTCGTACTGCTTCCTTCCCAAAGTTAAATAATTAAATTTCTTTCTTCATCCAGCTGAGTGCTGATATCTCATCCAGACTGAACCTAACAGCTTATCTGTGTATCTATCAATCTATCTATGGTTACAGAGTTCCTCTTATTAACCTCATGCCCTGTGGGGCATCAATAATAGAAAAAGAACTAATTTTGAATTTGACACCAAGGATTACCGGCCTTTTGCTTTACAAAACACCTCATCCATCAATTATTCAGAGAGCAAATCCAATACGGGACCGCAGGGCTGCATGAAGAGTCGCGGAGCGGCCCGGAACCAAAACTGACTTTTATGGATTTCAACTGATTCATAATGGAAAAATAAAACGAGAGAACATGAAATTTTGATTATTTTTAGTTTTATTTTATCAGAATTATTGTGGTGGGCTGCAATAGTTAGGTTATCTTTTGATACTTTTCATGATTTAAATCAATAACGCGACATTTTACAGGAAAAAAATTGGTGTATCTTACAAACAATGAGTATTTATTTTTTAATATTTTACTATTTGAATGTGTTTTTACAATGTTACATATCCATTGTTTGGACAAAACGCAGTCAGAAGCACTTTTACCCAGGTGAGGCAATCTGAGCAACACTGTGAAAACTATGTGGTGACATAAATTATGAATTAAAACTGTGCATCAAATGTCACATTGACTGACATGTAAAATCAGGTGAGCATCAAATAACAACCTGCTGGTATTCTATCCTGTTGAGTGGCTCACCCCCAAGCAAGTTTGGTAAGATAATCATTTAATTAGAGCCAGAGACAACAAAAAAGATTAAAAATAGATATAATGCAGCTCTTATGATTTTTCTTTCTTAGCTTCACTTGTATTTTTGATTTTCTGCTATAAAAACAGAAATTGGAGCAGGATCTTTATTCACTTATCCAAAATATTATTCTTTTAAGAATGTCAAAGAATGCAAAATAGCTAATTAAATGCTTTTTAAATAACTAAATCCCAATAAGCTGGGTTTGAATCTAATTCTGCCCAAATTATCAACTAAATTTAATTTAATCAACATTATGATCCACTGCAGTAAAACTGCAGTGAAGAGTTGAGTTTTCAACATTACCTGAGAAATTATCTCCAAATCCAGAAAAAGTCATTGACTTAACAGCAATCCCTTGTCCAGATGAAAGAATCCTGAGTGCAGACACTGAGCAAAGAATACTATTATGAAAAGTAACTAAGCGACACAAACTTTGTTAATGTCCATGAAAGAGATTTTGCTAA